TTTGTACAGTCATCACCCCCCACCCAAAAGAAGGCCTGTACCTGTTAGTACTCAGTTCCAATTTACCCTTCCCTATCTCCTGGCAACTGCTAATCTACTTTCTGTCTCTTTAGATTTGTCTGTTCTGAACATTTTATATAGTGGAATCATACACTATTATGAATAATGCTGCCATGAAGATTCATGTACAAGTTTTTATATGAACATATGTCTATTTCTCTTGGATATACACCTAGGAATGGAATTGACTGGATGATATGTTTGACTATTTGAGGAACTGCCAACCTGTTTCCCAAAGTGGCTGCACCATCTTACAGTTCCATAAGCAATGTATGAGGCTTTCAATTTCTCTGCATCCTTACCAACACTTGTTACTATTTTTTTATTATAGCCATCCCAATGGGTAGAAGTAATATCTGATTGTGGTTTTGATTTGCATTTCCCTAATGAATAATGATGTTGAGAGTCTTTTCATGTGCTTATTGGCCATTTATGTATCAGCTTTAGAGAAATGTTTATTCAAATCCTTTGACCATTTTAAAATCACATGGCTATCCCTTGTATTGATGAGTTGTAGTAATTCTGTATGTATAGTCTGGATATCAGATCCTTATGTGTGATTTGCAAATATATTCTCGATTTTGGTATCTTTTCACTTTCTTGCTAGTGTCTTTTGACTCCCAAAGTTTTTAATTTTGATGAAGTCCGATTTATCTAGTTTTTCTTTTGGTTACTTGTGCTTTTGGTGTCATATCTAAGAAATTTTTGCCAAATCAAAGGTCATGCAGATTTATACCTGTATTACCTTATAAGAATTTTATCATTTTAGCTCTTTTACTTTCAGGTCTTTGATGCATTTTGAGTTAATTTTTGCATACTGTGTGAGCTAAGGATCCATCTTCATTCTCTTGTACATGGATATCCAGTTGTCCCACTTTATTTTTTGAAAAGGGAATTCTTGGCAAGTCTAAAACCCTACTGAATCATTCATGGCTCCTGTCACCTAACATTTTGCTATCACCAAATCCTACCACTTTGACTTTCTTAAGATTTCTCTGTCTGTTCTATTGTCTGTATCCCTTCTACTACCAACTGGTTCAGGCAACTGCCATAGACTTCGTATTTGTTTCCCTGTGTCCGTTTTCTTATTTATATCCTTCAAAATCACGCTTCACAAAGCCTTCAAGTATTGAAAATACAAGCTAAACATGTAATCCCCTATGTAAAAGGTTTTATGGATTCCTTCTATACAAGAGTGTGACCAAGAAGGTAGTCTGAATTCAGAGGACTTGATTTCATTTCTTGCTTCTTACTATGTATATGGCCCTCTTGGCCACATATTTCTCCCCATCTGCAAAATGAAGATACTTACAGATCTTCATGGGATTTTTCATGATTAAGAAACTCATGTAAAGCACTTAACACAGGGCCTGGACTGTAGTTATCAATAAATATTAGTTACTGTTATCAGTTTATATTGTTAAATATTTTGTTGTTGACACTTGGGCAAAATCAGAGTAACTCTCTTCTCTCAGCTATTTTGGGTACTTGTAAAATAAGAATGAGTTTGAAATCTCAAGATATCAAAAAACTTAGCCTCTTTATTTTCTATCCAAATTGTAATAAATAATATTAGATGGCATTAATAATATTAAAGGCCACCCTGGCTTCAACACTCTAGTTAGGAGATTTCATTTTTATTTGCAAACGACCCAGCAAATTTGGGCTTCTCCACTTTATTGTAGGGGCAAACCCAGAAGGATTTGTCCATGACTGGGTATCTACTTTAAAGGGGAAACATGTCTGACTCCTTTTGCCATCTCTCTTCAGGCAGGAATTTGTCATACTGAGTTGCAGTAAAAAAGAAAATAAAACCAAAATCCATTACTTTTTTGAAGCAGATTCAGGGGTAGGTCCCCCTTTGTTATTTAATAGGAATATTAAACTGAAAGTTGGCCCAATTTTGCACAGATTTCTTACCGTAATTTAGAAGACAGATGCTGTTTGTTGCATTATGTGTAAATTATCTTCTGAGAAAGGGGAACACAGATCTTAATTGCAAAATGCCTCTCATTTCTCAAGTCACACACACACATCACTTGTATGACAGTGCTAGAAAGCATCAGATCTATGTAGAAATTTTAAGGTCCTCCATAAACAAAACAATATTTTGAGGAAAAAAATTAGAGGGATGAAAAATTTTGGAAATAGTGGTGATGAGTGCACAATAGTGTGAATATAATTCATGCCACTGAATTCTACATTTAAAATGGCTAAAATAGTAAACTATGTTTTATATATATATACACACACACACACACATATATATATTTGCCACAGTTAAGTAAATAGTTATACACGTATACATAATCAGCAGTACATTTTTTAAAAAGTTTCAAGGTCAGTAATTGAGTAGAAATTTGAAGAAACTATCCAAAGCAGTTGAGCCCCTGGGGCTTTTAGCAAAAACTCCAGAGAGGTGATTTTGGCCTGAAGTGAGTCTCAAAGCTTAAACATTAAAAGGATACTTAGAACACACAGACTTTTTCATCCTAACATAATATGATAAACAATTTAAATCTGAATGTAACAACTACTGTTCCATATCTTTTCCTAATACCATTACATGTTCCTGTATTTTACTGGTCAAAAAAACTGTGAAGTTAATTGGCCTAGCCTGTTATTTTCTGGTATCTGTTCCGATTTCAAAGGAAAGAAACAGGCTCAGAGAAGATGACTTGCCCAAAGTCACACATTTAAAAAGAATATAAAAAGTACAAATGCAGTTCCACTGATTCATCATTCATTAATTATATAGATACTTGAACATCTGCTGTGTCCTAGGCACTGGGGATATAATGAACACCACAATGTCTATATCCTTTCTCAAGGGTATTATTACAGTCTAATAAAGGTAGGAGTTGCCCCACAGTTATCATACAGTATGACAAGGTGGGGTAAGTACAAAGGACTATGGGAGTATTTCCCAGGGCTGTTTAAAACAATATGTAATATTCAGAAACATCTGATATTTGGCTCAGCTTAACTTCTATAACTGTGTAAAGCCTAAGTTTTCCATCTTCTTTGGAAACCTCCTAATTATTCAGTCATTAGCCTTTCATAGCCCCAAGCCAGCCACATAGCCAGTTGCATCACACTGCAGCACACTGAGGCAGACTGCAGGTTGAAACTTACCCAGTTTGGAAAGAACTTGTTTTACCTCAGCCATGGAAACAGGTGTACTCATTCCTCCTTCATGGGTCTACTGAAATTCAACACTTAACATTAGGTTCCTGATGCATAGTGGATACTGAATAAATGTTTACTAAATGAATAAAGTCTCCCCAAATCAAGCCTTCCTATTGAGTTGGGGCAGTCCCAACCAGCTTCCACCTTCTTCTAATATATTGCTGTAACAAAATACGGATTTCCTGGTATTTCTGTGGCCTGGGGACTGTTAACTGTTACTTCAGTTTAGATTTTTACTAACTGGACATAACCATGTTCTCCAAAAAGGTAAATATTTTATTGTTGCTTTAAAACTTGGTATCTCAAACTTCCATATCTAGAACTTTTATGAGCAGCACAAATAATCTTTTATAATGTTTAAGGGTGATGATGAAACCGCCAAAAAAGCAAAGATACTGAGATCTAGATCTTTGACTTAATAGTTACATATATTTGCAATATCTAGTAAACTATGGAAATTTCTAATGGTTTTAGGATCTTATTTGTATCATTCTTGAAGGGCAATTAATTATTTGCTATTTAATTGTAATTTTCAGGTAAAGAAGATACTCCCTCATTACTTGGCCTCTGTGGATCTCTAACGTCAGTGGCAAGTTACAAGTCTCTAACAAGCTTAAAATCTAATGACTACCTTGCAAGTCCTACAACAGAGATGACAAGTCCAGGCCTAACTCCATCCTGAAAGTTTTTATGTAAAAGCCAAAAGTTTTTATGTTGTAAATGTTTAATTTACATATGTTTGACTGCTGGGAAGACCTTTGAAATTTTATATTGTTCTGGTACATGTCTGAAAGTCTATTGCTTAGAGAGAATCCACTCCAGATAAGAGATTTTGAGTGAAAAACAATGATCCCGCCATTTTTCAGTTTTAAAATTCATATATTTGTCATTGAGAAAGTTCAGAAAGGAATAGGCTTTAAAACAAAAAAACTTTCAAAGATCCACCAAATAGTTCATAGCAAATTGTACATATTGTTCAGCTGATTTTTATATATTTAAATATACCTTAGTGGCCAGAGACTGACTTCAAAGGTTTATTCCAGAGACTTAAGCTAAGTATTTTTTCATTCTCTCAGATTTAAAAAAAAAAAAAAGTTACTTTCATTTTTTCATTAATTTCGTAAGTTCTATGCTTTAAATGCCTTGTTTTTAATATCGGGGAAAGTTCTCAGCTGCATTCTCACAGTGGCTTATTCAGTTTTTCTTCAATATTTACCATTTGGTATCAACTCAACATTCCACTTAACATTTTATAATTTCCATAGGAATGTGTCTGTTTTGGTAGTTACTGACTTAATTTGTTAGTGCCACAAGGAAAATATTTTACAGCATTTTATGCCATTTAGGTAAAATGAATAAACTGTTTTTCAAGATTTTCTTAAAAGATTATCAATTTAAAAATATGATCAAGTATGCCTCAAATACTAGACATATTTCAAAATGTAGAACAAACGTTGAAAAATTGTTTTGCCAGGAAAGAGTTCAAGTTCAGTTAAGGATTTGAGAGGCTTTTAAACAAGGATCAATAGGGTAGTTATCATACTTGATTAATATATGTCTGATATTCAGTGCTGGTTCTTTTTCCTGTTTGTGCAACAATGAAGTGTGTCATGTGTTTTATAGCCTCTAGCATTAATCACACAATAATCTCATTTTAAAACATTTAAATGTTAAAAAATCCCCACACTTATGTACAGGTAAAATTAGTTTTCTTTTTTTAAAACAAACAAAAAAAAAGTTGTAATCTGTACTTTTATTTCTTTTGGAATTTTTGAAACAGCTACATTAATTCCTAAAAATCCCACCATACTGAAAATGTATGGCGTGTATTTTCTATAGTAAGTAATATGAGGAAAACATGATTAGCTGTGCCAAAGAAATTTTATACATTGTTTACATGATGAGGCCACAGTACTTATTGGGGACTTCATATGGTATTTTTGTTTATTGAGAAGAGTCAAGAACCGACGTTACCACATTCATTCTTTGTGTTAGAAATGTAGGAGTGTGGTAGTTTTCTGCAAAATTTACAGCTTAGTCTCATAATTTGGAATTTAAGATAGTAAGTAGTAACAAGGCAAATCTTATATGTAAGACAGTCAAACAGTGTCACTTCGGGGACAAAGGCCTGGAAGCCCTTAAAATAAGTTATCTTAGATGTGCCAGAACATATTCAGAGCTTTATTCCTTTAGCTTAAGGCTTTAATACTTGTAGAAATGCGAATATTCTTGAGAAATGACACATTTTTGTTCTCAGTTTCTCAATTCTGTATACCTGATTGTGAGTGAAGTATCCAAAGCAGGTTTTCATCAGCTTGGGGGATGGAAGGTAGGTATAATAGGACAATGGAAACTTTGGGAGAAGGGAGTGAGGAAATGGATAAGGAGAAATTTGAAAATTTTATCCCGGACTTGAGCACTATTGCTGCTTTCCTATGAACGATCAGAATGTTTAAATGCTTTATCATTCATGGTCCACTCTCAACTAACATTTATTATCCTTTAGTAATTAAACAATGGTTTTACATACATTTTTATAATGTAGAAGGAAATTCAAGATTCCATAATCGTAAAATTTTTCAGATCTGTCTAATGTATAATTTGTGCATCTTAACATGCTGCTAAATGCAGATTTAAACATTACATCTGAGGATCATGACTTTTCCTCCTTTCTTGGAGATCTTGGTGTAAAATTCATCTGCTGTTATAAAATCAGGTTTCTACACAGTTCATTTCACACTAAAGGTAGTTACTGTTTGCATGAAGAAACAATGTATGTCTCAATCTTTAATTTTAGTTTGGTAGTGTTTACTGTTCACCCACCCCTCTTGCCTCCAAAAGAATGCTGAATTATACGCCAATATTTCCATGTGTATTCTGTTGCCTTGATGCATACTATACTTGTTGCATGTATATTAAACATTTTGTACTATGCATTGGTGGTCTTATTTTGCTTGACAAAAAGTTAACTGATTTAACTTGCACACTAAACTTTTGTTTCAGCAAATGTGGTAAATATATATTGTTTCACACCTAAAATACTAACATGAAAATGGAATCGGAGAAATCCTTATTCCAACTCACGTCAAGTTAAATATCCTATTTTTAAAAAGTAACATGATATGCTTTAGAATACACATCTATTGAATCAGTACAGTTTAGTAGTGGTTCTGGCAGTGTTACTGATTTAATTATAAAATAGTCATGTTTGCTTTCTTTGTAAGAATCATCACTATCTTCTTGACACCTATGAGATGGCATCAGGATGATGTAAGCATTAAATAAAATCATATATAAAAGTTCTAAAGAGATAAAGGCCAAATGCAAGCTACTAATTATGATTGGCAGAAAAAGTAAATCATAAGTTAGTTGTTAAATCATTAGATTTACATACAGTTTTTAAGTGGTTATAAATGTGTCCCAAATTTACAACTTAGAAAACTGATTTGTTAAAGTTCCTATCATTAGATGAAATGTCCAGATTTTGCTAAACATATTGGATTACCGCTTAAGTGTCACAAGACTGGTTCATTCTGCTCTTCTGAAAGCAAAGCAGCTTCGATTTGGTTTTAGCATTTGTCGTTTTAACTGACAGGAAAGGGAAGATAAAATTACCTCTTTTTCATTATGGTACATTTAAAAAGTGTATTATTTTAATACAAACCAAAACTTTTAGATTTCTAACACAGATCACCTTATCATAAGCCCCATTTTCCATACTGCTAGTTATCTTTCCAAAACCCAAGTCTAACTGTTACAACTGTGCCGGAAATTTTTTCCTAGGCTTCCCATGGCCTTCTTGTTCCTCCTTTAGCACACAAGGCCTTTGACTACATTTCCAGTCTGATCTCTTACTACATTTCCATGTATACATTTTGTTCAAGCCATATGGACTAAATTCCACTGCCTTACTGAGACTCCCACTTCCCTGCGTATTTACTAATTGGATTGCCTGTCAGTCCAACTCTTAGGTTTCCTGACCACTCCCCTTCTCTGCCCCCAGGCTGAGTGAACAACTCCCCATATTTCCCATGACTCCCTTTGCATGCTTCTAGCAATCAGTCATAGCTCTGAAACCTCCTGTGGCCAGTAACAATATCTGAAATGTCTTGTCTCCAGTGCTTTTTTTATACTGCCTACTACAAAAAATGTCCCAATAAATGCTGACAGATTAAAATATAAAAGCAGTAATCTTTTATTTGAAAAGTTCATCTTAGAAGAAAATTCAAAAGGGATACAATAAACTTGTCCACACCCCAAACACTTGTGCCCAAGACAAAAAGAGGGAAGAATTTGTTTTTAATTTTAAGTTCAGGGGTACATGTGCAGGTTTGTATATAGGTAACGTTGTGTGTCGTGGGGGTTTATTGTACAGATTATTTCATCACCCAGGTATTAAGCCTAGTACCCATTAGTTATTTTTCCTGTCCCTCTCCCACCTCCCACTCTCCACCCTTTGACAGACCCCAGTAGATGTTGTTCCAAGAGGGAAAATTTTAAAAAACACATGCAGTTAAATAACCATCGTGAATAGTTTTCCTAGAAAAAGAAGAAAAAAAATTGCCTTTTTTAAAAAAGTCAAACATGTACTACATTAAAGGTTGCAATCATCTAATATTTAAAATTAAAGATGTTCCTTCTTAAAATTTTACATTTAATCAACTAAATGTTTATGTTAGAAAATGTAACGTTAATAGAATAAAAGCTGTTTGAGAAACATCACCAAGAACACTGTTGTGGCGCATGTTTACAAATATTGCAATTCCTGCAACATATGTATTGAAAAGTCTGGAAAGCCCATAGGGCTGAGAGTTAAATTTGAATACTGACGTAAAACCTGGGAATATTCATCGTGCCAATTATGGTTCAATTATTTTATCAGACAGAACTCTGGAAGCAAATTAAAATTTTAAAATTTTAGCTATTCCATGGACTGAATTTTTCTAGGTACTATTTTAATACAAATTAAGTTATTATGGCAAAATTCTGAACCCTTTTTGGTTCAGAATTCTAAAAGTATTAATTGTTTCTTTACCTCTTAAGTATAAAGAAAACTTCAATTCAGCCTTCTTTTCATCCAGATACATTGCATGTAGTATGTGTTAGAAAAACTACTAGGCATTTAGATTTACTTATATTACTTTATTCATAAGTGAGAACTTTCCTAAGTGCAGTGAGGGGTAGGAGACATGGAAACCTTTCTCATACTTATAGGTGATATTAAACTGAAATATGTAACTGCCTTTTGGGAACAGTGTTAAGTTTTTCTGCTTTTTTTCTATGAATTATCCATAAGCATAGCAAAACTAAGATAAATTTAAATTTAATATTGTTAGCACTGTTCAAGATAAACTTTCATATATATATATCACAGTACAGCATTATACAATGATTTTATATAAAAATATTTAGAAGCACAGTGATGATTTTAAGAAGGCATAAACATTTTAATGAAATATAAGAAAGTCATGAATATTTATGTAGATATGTTGCAAATTTAAGGTAAATCAACATAGGATAAAATAAACAGAAGATTACATGCAAACCCTATATACTTTATTTCTGGTGTTACACTTTCCTACTATAGTACAAAATCAATTAGTTCCTCTACCAGCACTAAAGACTTGTCATCTATTCATTTTAGGAGAGGAAAAAAAATGCTTCACATTTTCCTAAAATAAAGACTGCAATAAAGTGCTGTTTTCTTTTTAAAGGATATAGATCCTAAGACAATAAAACTAAAGTATAAAAAATGACAGCATTTCTTTTCCTGCCATCATATCCTTTCTTATCTCATTCCTACATACAATGAATGATAAGCTAAAGTATTTAGACATGTACGGTGACTGAAAGCAATGTCTTCAAGGAAACAGCTTCTTGTTTAGCCTCTTACTCTACCATACTTAGTGTAAAAATCAAAGGATATTTTAGAAATATTTTGTAACTATTATTGTAGCAATAATGTCTTGTTAGAACAAGACAATAAAAATGACATAGAGAATTCCGTGAACAATGATACTTGGATTACAAGATGGCTAAAAATCAGAGGCTATTCCTGTGTGCAAACTATTTTTACCAGTCTAAATACTATGTAATTTACCACTGAACACCCAAGTTTGGCTGAAGTGAACATTTGCTACTATCAGTAAAAAACTCCCTCTCTTACAGGAACAGCAGAAATATAGACATTTAGTCATCAAAAATGGCACAATGTACAGCACACAAATGATTATATTATGGTTCATAAGGAGAACAGCCACAATTTTGATCAAAGAAATCTTAATACATGTGAAGCCTTAAAACAGCAACATGGCAGGGAGGGAAAGGGAGGCGGGAACCTAATGCATTTGAATTAAAGGAAACAGGCAATATTTGGTCAGTGTCAACAATGCTATTTAACGATTGCCTTACCTACTTTACTGAAATACAGAAATACCTATGTACATGATTTAAATGTGCACAAGACTTGGGCTTTTTTCTAGACTACGTACATCATTCAGCACACAATTCAAAAAGTTCTTGTGTATCCGACACACTCCCAATAAGATGATGTTACACTGAAACATATAATATTAAACTCGCAGAGATTGCTTTTGATGCTAAGGAGTAATTTGTCTTATTTTTACAAGAATGCTCAATGGTGGTGATTTCTAGAATATTTTTTTCTGTATCACCAAAAATAGGATAAAATTTATTTTAAAATTATGGTTTAGAGGTAGAGCTGAAATCATTTATTTAAATTATAGGAAAGAAAGACTTAAAATCATTGTAAGAGAATAATGGTGAAAAACATTCTTGCCTAAGAGTCTCCATCTTCTTTGGTTATAGTTGTTGTTTCAAGTTGAAACAGCATCACTAGTACTGCTGCCTTCGAACATTTTGTTTCTGGAAAAAAGCCTTTCCAAATTCATATGTACTGATCATAATGGCACAAGCAGGAGCAATTTTAATTAAGCGAGGAATTAGGCCTGAAAAAAGAATAGGAATAATCAAAACAAATATTTTTTTCTTACCTTATTTTTAAAAATATAATTTTTTGGCTTTATTCTGATAATGTTCAAATTAAATGAATATGTTAAAATCCATAAATTGGTAGAAAAGACTGTGCACCTCCAACAACCTCACTTCAATCCATATTACATTATAGAGAAATTTTTATCTTACTGATAGTAAATCTGTTACTTAACGTTTATTTTAATTTATAATACAGATATTTAGGAGAAAATAAACACAGTATGTTACCTATAACTTCCTCCTATAAGTTAATTTTAGAAAGTGATAGGTTTAAAAGTAATCATTCTATTCAATGATTTGGTAAAGCAAGTATTTTTACCTGAAAATAATCCGGAAAATCCATTTTTAGCAACAATGTTCTTCATTATAACCCAGGTTGACATATGCAAAGGCATAGAAACTAAATGTTAAAATAAAGAAATAATGCTATTATAAATAACAATTTAATAATTCCTAATACAGATAACACAAAGTAGTGTTCATGGCCCTTGGGGATATATAATTTCATTACCATAAGAGGTTTGTTTACCTAAAAAGCTACTTTAAGTTTTAATAGATTCATTAAAAATAAAAAACAGAAAAAGGCTGTATATTTAAAGATGTATAGGACGGGATGCAATTAAGGAGGATGTACTGAGGGTTTCTCCTGATTTGATAATGCTTGTTTCTTAAACTTGATGGTAGTATTTTTTAAACTTTTTTCTAGGTCTTAAAAACTTTTCATAATGAAATTTTTAAAAGATGTATAGACAGCTACTTCGGAGGCTGAGGTGGGAAGATCGATCTCTTGAGCTTAAGAGTTCAAGACCAGGCTGGTCTCCCCATCTCTTAAAAAATGTATAGAAACCTTCATGGGGTATCCAATGCCAAAGAAAAGTCCTCACAACCATTTTTCATTCATGTTTTATTATAAATAGTTTTAAAACTTTTTTTTTCTAAAAAGAGTTCTGAGGAAAACAGTTCATTCTCCCTAGCAGTGTCTTCAGTTATTACTACCTTTCTGAATGGGTATGCTAGTCTTGAAATAAATTAGACCAGTGCTCTCTCCTTCAAAGGGTTTATTTTAGCTAACAATAACATCTCACTTATTTGCAACCACTCAAATAACTGGAAGAAAATGAATAAAAAACTATTTTTTTTTAAACTTAGCAAAAGTAGATGTCACTGAAGTATAAACATAAAGCTTGTTTGTAAACTAAATTTGTTTATTTTCATTTTATGCACTTTTCTAAACAGCTACCTTGGCCCACAGACTACTAGATGCAATAAGATTAAAAAAAAAAATTGTAAGAACCAGATACACTACCATGTAAACAACATGACAGCTAACAGGATAAAGATTTCAATGTCTTGTTTTGAGACCAGCTGGATGATGGGCAAACAATCCTATACTGCCCTCTCTAGCTTTTGAGAGCTGCTACTCTACAAAAGTCAATGTTTACATGGAAGACAACCCTGAATCATTAAACAAGATTAAAGTATGTACCACTAAGCAAGCCTGGAAGATAAAAGTTAAGATAAAACGATATCTTTCAAAAATGACTTTCTAGAATTTTGCCATTTAATGGAGTGTGATTCATTACCTCCAAATTTCATTTATATAAAATATCAGAATCTCTGACTATGAATAAATGAGGACTAAGATAAATGAAGCCTTATGATTTATTTAAGAAGCTATACCAGCAATAGTATAAGCATAAACATAATAACTACAGCAGCCCAACACTGATTACAAAATATGAATGAAATTTAACTTTCTAAAGAAAGTCAATGACAAGAACTTTCTAAGTTGGCAATTTTCACTTCATGTTTAAATTATTTCATTTAAATTTTAAAAACTAGTCAAAGTATGGTGATTAAGCAGCAGGTGTTTCTAATCTTGTAGAACTCATGCCCCAAACTAGTTTCTATTTTAACAGGAAGGTGAAATTAAGAGAATGACAAAAAGAATATCAACTGAAGGTAAGCCAAGCTCTAGTGGAACCTTAGAAGTGTCTCCTGCCTAACATTTAAACATTAAAGAGCTACTCCTACAGGTAATAAGCAAATTCTTGCACTGTAAAGAAACACTTTTATTATTAAATATTTCAAGCATAGAGAAAATAAATGCTCATTTACTGAACATCCAAATTTACTATATCGTAATAACTCTTTCAGATCCAGTTGAAGCCCCCTATATATTCCTCCCCAATTGTATTTTTCCTCATTCTCAAAGGTAATCACTCTTGTCTTTCTTTTTTCATCTTTCTCATGCATTTGTTTAAATGTTTACATCTAAACATATCCAGATGTATACTCTTCTTTGTATACATCTGGAATGTACAGAACAATGTATACTTTTCTTTATCCTCCTTTTAAACTTTATATAAATGGTATCACACTGCACACTGACTTCTGCAATGTGCTTTCAGAATTATATAGGTTGGTAAGTGCAGCTATATTTTATTCATTTTAATTGCTGCATGGTATTGCATTATATGGCTTATAATGATTTATCCATTTTCCAGTAAAGGGACATTTAGGTGATTTCTAACTTTTTGCTGTTTTTAAAAATCTTGCCTTGGATATCCTTGTACATGTGCAAAAGTTTCTCTAGGGCACATATCTAGGAGTGGAACTGATAACTCAGAATGGACTCCTTGCTACTGCCAGATTGTTTTCCAAAGTAGCTGTTCCAAATACTGTTACCATCATGGCATAAAGTTCCCAGTGAGCTACATCCTCCCCAACAGTTTAATTTATATAAAATGTTCTCTCACTGCTGTTCCTTAGTATTACCAAAATTCAACATTTTAAATAAGTTTATTTGGCAAGTATAACCATTTCATAATGATTCATTTCTATTTTAAAATAGAAATATAATAAATATTGAAATACAGAAAAATATTGCCTTAAATATTAAAACCAATGTACTATTTATTACATCTATTAAACATTTTAATTTTAAAATGTTTAAAAATTAAATATTGCTTTAGTTTTTTTTTCTATAGTTCTATTGTCCAGTTAAGAATAGTGTTTTAAAAATATGAAATGTGTTCAGAGAAAAAGAAGTTTAACTTCTGGAAATAAGTACATTTGGGCCAGGTTTAAAAAGCTAAAACCAGAGATTAAATTTTTAAAAATTAATAATATACGACATACTCATAAATTAGGTAAAAGTTATCTCTGTTATAGGATATGGCACTTACTCCATGCTAATGTGCTTCTGAATGCAGCCTCTGTTCCAGTAGATTATGAGCTCTTTGAGGATTTGGGTAATTGTCTCATTTATCTGTATATACCAGCATGGTGCCTGACACAGTATAGGCACTCAGTAATTGACTAATGAATGAAGAATGGAAGAAGTGGTCAAAGTAGGCTGACAGATCATATACTTGCATGGAACTATCATTCTATAGTATGATAGATGCAACACTTCATATTTTCTTTTTTGCTTAGAGAGAAGGGATTTGGTATAGTTGAGCTGTGGAATGAAGGAAGTCACTTCTAAATGAAGCTGAGTTACTTCTTGGGGATAAATAATGTAAATCCAAATAGTAAGTATGGGCTGATTATCACTCAAATTGCAAGTGTAATTTCAACTGAAATATTATCTTAGTAAACCTTTAAGTAATTGGTTCATAGCTGAAGTACACTAACAGATTAAAATTTACAATGATAATCATGGAAAATTAAAACCCAACTCAAGATTTTTCCTTTTAGGTTTAAATGAGGAAACATTAATTAGAAAAAACCGGTGATAGGTAAGAGTTAAATCTAATACAGAAAGATGGCTCCCTGGTGCCAGTCTCAATGAAGATATATATCACAATCACTTAGGGATCATTTTCAAAATATACAAGCTAGAGTTCCACCTCAGAGTCATTAAATGAGAGTCTATTGAGGATGATGTCCAGCTTTAGGTATATTGAATAAGCACCTCAGGTGACTCCAATGATTAGTTACCAACATAAGTGGCTCCCAAACTTTAGTGTGCATTAGAATCTACCTGTACAGATTCCCATCTTTTCCCTTATCAACCACCATGACCACCACTACCTCAATGCCCCAGTCATTAGCCATTTATGCTAAATTACACCAAAGAGAAACTGGTGAAATCCTACTATATTAAATATTATACTTAAGAGGGGAAATAGAAATTCTGATAAGAAGAGAAGAATGAAACAAAGTAATTTTGAACTGTCAAAGGAGGACAGATAGGGCTTGGGTTTCTAGAAGGCTCATGCCTAAAACAGGGAAGTGGGAGAACCCTAATATAATAAAACTCTGATTACCTCCCAGGTTTTCATTAGCTTCTAATATAAGAGGAGAGTAGGTATTTGACAGGTCAAAGACAAGGATGTCACCAATATCCATCAGATTCATTTGTAGAGGTCTGTAACCAGCTTCTTTCAACATTATACCTATTTTACCTTTTATGCAAACTATTATAATCATGGGTAGAAGAATTTTTATTTACACTGTAATAGTCTTATCACAAGACTTACATAATTTTGTAATAGATAATTTTCCATGGGTTTGCTACACTTTCTAAAGGGAATAAATGACAGAGGGATCCTAGTAGAAGCAAATAGGAGTACACTTTTGTTCTAGAAGAAATTACAGGTTATGAAGAAATAAAAATAGATGGTTTTTATGATTAAGTTGGGTTAATCAAAGTTGGTAAATGCAAAGGCACACAGTAAAAATCTTCAAATGTCATATTACCATGTTAACAAAACCATGGGATCATGTAATAATGAAAAAGCATCTGATAACGCTTTCATATACAGATATATATATATATATACACTATCAAAAAAAAAAAGAAAAAAGGTTTACCAGTAATTTCCTATCCTTTATCCTGATTTGTCTAGATTTATCTTATTGGTTTATTTCAAAGACTTATGAGGACAATAAAAATAATAATTTGAAATAGATCTGAAAACAAACTAGGAAAAGACATCATAAAACAACTTAGCTTTTAAATGACAAAGATTATTTCTTCTTTATCGCAGGTATGAGACTTAACTGATGGCATTCAAGAAACATTAGACTTTACATTTTCTTAAATTTTTTGTTTTTGTTTAGAGATTTTCTGAGTATTCCATTCTAACAGTATATTACTTTCAGTAAAATACACAAAGAATAATGCAGAAGAAAAAAATCTTGTTTTCTCTATTTTAGATATTCCTACAATATCTGGAAGGAAAAACAAAAAAATGCTTTAAATTTATTAAACTTACTTTTATGACTTTCATATGTCCAAAGTTGTGTCTGCTTTTGTGTTTTTACTACATCAAATGGTAAAGTTGCAATAGCTGCAAACTATCAGAAAGTAAAATTGATTAATTTCCATCAACCTTTTAACTTTTCCTAAAATATTTGTACATTCTTCTAATTAGTACATTATTTAGTAAGAAATAATGAAAATAACAACTTTAAAATGAAATAATATGTATATCTTTTAAGTCTTCATTAAAGAAAACACATAGGTATTTCTCACTATACTCAAAAGTAAAAAGCCTCAGAAAAATTCCCTTACTTTCCTGAGGTCACATAGCTACTAGCTGCAGAGCCACAATTCCAACCAAACCTCTCTGACTCCACTACCAGCATTCACAATTTCTCATGCACCTTTGTGTTTTATTATTCCTTTACATCACAAGAAGGTACAACACATATGTCAAAGCAAAAATTCTCAAGTATCTAGTAAGCATTTTAAAATTTCCAGCAAATGCTTTTAAAATAGAATAAAAACTTAAATTTGAACAACGAAAATGAATTTTGAACTTTTAGCTCTATAAACCTTTTAAAATAGTTATGTAAATGTTTACATATTAAAATATAGTTACAATGGTTTACAAATTAGATTTTTTCCTATTAATGATAAAAGCTGGATGCAAATCACATTTCAAATAACTTTTCTCAAAATAATTTACACTTATTTCCACAATGCCTTGAGTTTTTTAATAACTTAGTTCTTTTAAATATGTTATCACAATATTTGATACAACAGCCATGCAAGGTTAACACTGGCATGTATTTTTGCTTCCCAACTCACATTTGGCCAATATGGTCATAAAATGCCCCTTTAAAATCACTTATATTTTATTTCAACCCAACAATTTGTTGATTTACGTTCTTGAAATCAGCTTTGAAGATTTCAGGTAAGGTAAAATCAATGATTTTTCTCCATCTTCATTATCTATCATGTAGTAGCTACAATGTTATGTAAGCCATTTTTGAAACTCTTTCTAAAATAAGGTGGTTTAGGCTGTTCTGTTTCTGACAGAAAGCCTGGACACTCATATTCAGATGTTTTTTCTGTTGTAGAGACAAAACGTTATTTGAAAACTGTCAAAATGCAGCAATTTTCTAGATCATTTAAAAAAATCCTAAAAAAACAGATTTTCTAGGTTACATAGAAATAGTACAATAGAGGACTCTCCTTTGTATTTCTGCAAAACTGGTAAATATCCTAAAGCCATTATTCAACAATACTAATTGCTTTTTTTGTTCAATAGGCTTATAATCCACTAGGATTAATTTGAAAGATTTTAGACTGGGAATATTTATATCTAAGTTTTAAAGTCAACTACGTGGCTTCCTTGGCCTAGATTTTCTGAGATATTACAATATTTTTTTGCAAGTCTCCATCACTTCACTCTGCTCCTTCACTATTGGTTTTATGTGGTTCCAGTGTGTTATTGTCTCACTACAAGTTATTACAAATTCATTTTTGGAAGTATGTGGGTATAAAAAAAACTATTACCAATGTCAGGGTGATATAAATCTGCATAATGAAAGTCTACTACAGGACTTTCATATCATTCTACAAGGAGGTGTGGAAAAAGATAAACTATTACCCAAAAAATGGTAACTTAAGATTCCTTCCTTCTGACTGCAATTTTTGTTCAAATTCTTTTAAAAAGTACTTTAGTAGGACAAAATGTTTCCAAAGAAACAGGAATCAGGAGCAGAGGCTAGAAGTGCTTAACGCATATGAGATGACACTGCATGAAATATTACGTAATCAGAGCAAAATTACAAAATGCTCTAAATAATAAAACTCTAAAATATTGTAACTGTAATGATCCAACAAATTCAAAAGTTTCTCACAAAAATGTTTTTGCAACATAAAAACATAAATACAGTATGTTTAAATTATTTTATTTGCTAATAATTTGTTTCCTTAAAATAGAGGGCAAATACTTAGAAAAACTTTCAAGCAGTGCAGCCAAAGTGGATCTCAATATACATGAGATGTTATATAATATTTTGTTTTGTTTTAATACAACAATTATTTTTCTGGAATATTAACAACAAAAGAATAAACTTACAGAACCAGACAATGCCCCTGAAGTAAAGTTGATCATAAATGTTGGCTCATATAAACCAGACTTCTCACATAACCACTTCTTTAAAATTTCATAGTTATACCAGTACATTGCTATAAAAACAGACAATGAAATGAACACACATTTAGAAACAAAATGTGGACTTTAATAAAAGAGTTATGAGGTTATATATTCAGGGGATAGACAAATTCTAACCTTGACACACCTTGCTTTCTGCTTAGACACCCACTAGGGTGGGATTTCTTTTTTTAAAGCAAAATTCTCAGTAATATTCTAGCAGTCCTATAAACAAAAAAAAAACTATGCATCAATGAAGTACGACTATAATTCCAAAGCCTGACAAGGACAGCAGTACAAAGGAAAAAAGTAAAGGCCAATCTATTCATGATCATAGGTACAGACTTCCTAAAAACAATAATGAAAAACAAACTGAAGTCAGAAATATTTCATAAAATATCATACACTATGATTAAGTTGGGTTATCCCAGAAATGCAAAGGTATACAATAAAAATCTTTAAATGTCATATTACCATGTTAACAAAACCATGGGATCATGTAATGATAATGAAAAAGCATCTGGTAAAACTCAACACTCTTTCATTTAAAAGAAGCAAGTTTCTTGGAAACCTAGAAGTAAAAGGAAACTTCTTTGATTTGATAAAGAACATGCATCAAAAACCTATACCAAAAATAATTATTAATGGTTAAATGAGATCTATTTTCTTTAAAATGGGAAAAATGATGGGGATGTTCATTATTGTCACCATAATTCAAAAACTCACTGGGCAGCAAGAAAGAAAGAAAAATTATGATTATAAATGATGATATAAAACAGTTAAATTTACATATATTTTTATATATATCCAAACCAAAACGATAGTAAGACAAAGCAGAATTTATAACAGAGTGTTAAAACATAGCTGGATATAAGCTATAGAAAAAAATCAATTGCAACTGAACCAACTACAAAGATTTAATTTTAAAAAATTAAAAAAGAGCTTTAAAAATAGCTACTAAAAGCTGGGGACAGTGGGGTGCACCTATAACTAAACGTCAGAAAAAAGAGATGAATACAACCTTGATGAAGAAAAATTTGAATCTCTCCTAAAACAACTTCTTAAAGACTTATTATTAACATAAAGAGATGACATTCCTAGGGAAGAAAAATAAAGTGACATCAAGATTTTTCTTAGCCAAGCATGGTGGCACACGCCTTTAGTTCCAGCTACTCAGGAGGTTGATGTGGGAGGATTACTAGAGCCTTGTAGATAGATCAAGGCTACAGTGAGCCGTGATTGTGCCACTGCACTCCAGCCTGGGCAACAGAGTGAGACCCTGCCAAAAAAAAAAAAAAAATTTTTCATAGAGCACTAATAATTCAGTGTGGTATTGGCTTGAAGTCAGAAACATTAACCAGTGAAACAGATCCATGCATACGTGAAAATGTTATATGACAGAGATAACAATGCAGATCCCTGGAGCAATTATGGTTATTCAATAGATCAGGGTCCACAACCCCAGGGCTGAGGATTGGTACTGATCTGTGTCCTGTTAGGAACTGGGCTACATAGCATGAGGTGAGCGGCGGGTGAGTGAGCATTACCTCCTGAGCTCCACCTCCTGTCAGATCAGCAGTAGCAATATATTCTCATAGAACTCTATTGCTAACTGCACATGTGAGGGATCTAGGTTGCGTGCTCCTTATGAAAATTTAATGCTTGGTGATCTGAGGTGGAATAGCTTCGTTCTGAAACCAATCACACACACACACACACACACACACATACACACACACACACACACAATTTTTCCAATCATGGAAAAACTGTCTTTCACAAAACCAGTCCCTGGTGCCAAAAAGGTTGGGGATCACTGCAACAGGTGATGTTGGGACAACCAGCTATCCATGTGGGAGGAAAATGAAATTTAAAACCTACTTCAATTTCAAAACCCCAAATCAATTATGAATAAATGAATGCCAATGAAACAGTGCCCAATCTTATTAAAAACCAGGGAAACGCAAATTAAAGTGAGATACCACTTTAAATTATTAAACAAAAATTAAGAACTTTGACAATAAAAACACTGGAAGGGGTGTGAAGCAGCAGAAAATTTCATACATTGCTGGTAGGTAGGTAGATCACACAATCACTTTAGAAAAGAGTTCTATATTACCTAGTAAAATTTGAAATGTATGTATGTATATGAACCAACAAATCCAATACTGGATAAACTTTCAAAGGTGCACCAAGAAACTGATTAAAAATTTTCATAGCAGCATTGTCTTAGTTGTTTACTCACATATAAATGAGTAAAAATGAAGAAAACAGTTACCTATAACACAAAAAGGAATCTTAGGAAAATCTTTTAGTAAAAGGGGATTTTCAAAAATAGGCAAAACTAACTAATACAATGTTTGGCAATAATATGTATGTGGGAAAACTAATTCTTTTCATCAAATGAATGGCATTTAATATACTGGTTACCACTGGGGTTGTGACAGTGAAAGAACATATTTGTGGTTTCATGATTTTTAAAGGATATAGATATTATTATTCAGAGTTTCTCTCTAGATAAGTATTTCTTTTGGGTCTTAAAAACTTCTATAACCCACAGGGGAAATGCCACTAGAGTATGTACATTATATAAGTTACCGGTAGATTTGTACTTCTCACTTTCCATAATTTTCTCCCTTTTCATAATTGAGTAAGTAGTACAATAGCCTACTTGATTTGTAATAGTCTTTTACAGGATAATCATTTAATGGGGAGATGTTTATTTTTAATAACTGAAAAAGTAGGAGCCCATATAATTCCAAAGTGGTCTTATGGATTCTATCCTTTGATTCGTAGTTGTTTTACTTATCTTACTAATTGTTTAGAATAATACTAAATGACTTATTTAGAATGTTAAAGGTACTTTGCATTCTCTGAATATGAATACCTACTAATTAATGTATAAAAACTAATAACAAGCTTGAATAAAAACTATTCATTCAATAAAAGCTTGTAAAGATCTGAGAGCCCAACAACGAAAAAGGAGTTTGTGGTCACTACAGACAATAACTTACCTTTAATGGTAAAGAGTTAAAAATCTAGTAACAGTAATATTTAACAAAGCTACGTAAAACTGAGTAGCTACAAATAAGATAAATCCTACCTGAGAAAGGTACATCTCTAAGAACAGTAGGAGCCCAGCCCCTCCAAAGGGAAATCCAACCATCTTCAGATACTTTCTTGCTGACAAATCGATGCAGTTCCGTGTAAGAAAACTTCTTGGACTGCATCTTGGTTCTAATCAATTCTAGTGGACTTATCACAGTTACTGCACCAACTAATACAAACAAGTTTAAAAAAAGAAAACAAAAATAAAGCCATGTACTATGCAAATACACATACTGTAAAAATTAATATTCATATATTTTATGATTTTTAAACTTTTATTCTATAATGTCTGAAAACCTTAAAATTAAATATCTAATGATGTCAACGTAATTGACACAGATTTTTCCCTTGATAAAAGTTATTTCTTAAAAGTCTATTTTCATATATCTTACTTTTTCTGGTTTCAACTCTCTCAACGGCAGTTTCAGAAATGTTGTAATCAACCAGAACTATGAAAACCAAAGCCCATTCCAGTTACTGACCCAATAAATCCCACTCCCATTTAACAGAGTAAACGTTCTTCTGTATAGAGTCAACTTTCCTTATGATCAAACTCTGAATCCCAAAGTTTTAAGGAAAGTGATTCAGAACTTTGGACTGAATCATGCATGATCCCACGTGATACCTCAGAAGTTCAGGTGAATCAGAACCAACTCTGATGTCACTCTAAAAACTCTGTCCATGATTTGACCAAGATAGGCTGAGCCCATCTCATTCTGATGGTAATCACTATTCCATATGACTTCTGGAGTATCTATCCTATATTAACAAATTAATATAAACTATAAGGCAAAATATATCATACTAATATTCTATATATTGTACAATTATCTGTGAATGTCCCAACTTAAACAGAAGCTCTAAACAGAAATCAAAATGAAAATAAAGATTTATTACTCACATCTGGCTACAATTCCAGCAACAATTGGTATGTAGGTTTCATTTTCTCCTAACTTAGATCTCAGAAGAGCACTTAATTGATCATAGCAGGTAAAATAAATAACTGTGGCAGGAACTGCCATCACTCTGTTAGATCACACAAAAAGATTTGTTCAAAATTATCAAAAGATTCCACAGTCTTAAATTCAAATATTATTATATAAGCTAAAAAACCCTTATATTTTGTGTAAGCTAAAAACCACAACAAATTAGCCTATGAGATCAAATTTTCTTTTATTTTAAAAATGGTTAATACTTAGTAGGCAGTAAAAAGATATAAAGTAGGCATTTGCCATCCAAAAGTTTGCATTCTAGTTGTGAAGACAGTTACAATATATAGCATTAAATAAGTGCTAGCATGGTGGTGGCACATGCCTGTAATACCAGCTACTCAAGTGGCTGAGGAACTAGAATCACTTGAACCTAGGAGGCAGAGGTTGCAATAAGCCGAGATCATGCCACTGCACTCCAGCCTAAGGGACAGAGCAAGACTGTCTCTAAATAAATAAATAAAATAAAAATAAAACAAATAGGAAAAGACAAATTAAGACAGACATTTCATCTCCTTGACTTGTTCTGTTTCTGGTTGCCCAGATCTTCTTTCTCATTCATAATTACCATAACATCAGAATCAGCAAAATAAGAAGTACATGAGAAATTGTAAAACATTTTTGAACTATAGACCATATATCACTCCTGCTTGTAACCAGACATAAATTATAATTAACATCATCAGAATTACATACACTAATTTCAAGGGAATTCTAATGATATACTATTTTAAAAGAAATTATTAAAAGGGAATTATTAAATTCAAACACAAAGTTGCATGTACTGTCATGTCGATAAATATTAATGCAACAAGAAACGAGTCCATGTTTATGATATAACTAAAGAACATTCACAGACCATAGTCTGGAATGCCTAATCTTATATGGTGGACTTTGCTGCTGAGAATTTAGGAGCAGGACTGACTGGTGAGGTATTAGATCTGCCACTAACTTCAAACCTTAAGCATTGTTTAAAATAAATGCCTCAAATTGACTAATTTCCTCCATTAAAAATATAAAGTCCTTGGGAATAAATGAGACAGCAAAAGCCAAGTTATTATTTTAGATTTTTACATTTAATATTAAGAGTTTATCATGTTAATTCATGTAATCGCTAGTTAGTAGACAATTAGAATTATCTGGATAAAGTATACATTTTGCAATATATCATACAGCTTTAGTAAAATGAACAAATAGACACCAAAATTTTTATTTCTGAACATGAAAAAAATTACCATATGCTTGTGTAGCAAACACAACACAGCAGGCTTGGTTGCTCAAACCTTATATAACTTCAGGAGGGCCTATGTGCATGCCTGACGTCTGGACAACTCATGGGAATGTATCCCCTGGAGTATTCCCTATTAGAAGGTTTTTTGGACACCTGAAGCACTAAACCAACTTGTCTAGGTTGATCTGTATACTGCGATTTATGGTAAACTTCTTTCCTTCTGTGGGTTTAAAGTTTTGCTCATCACAACTGGCCTCAAAGACAGAATGTGTCCATACAACCCATGTTCAATAAAAGCCCTACACTCAAAACTCAAATGGGTTTCCCAAGGCAGAAGCACTTTGTATACTTCACAGCTCACTAACAGAAGGATAAGCACATCCTGTGCAATGCCATAAGGGAGGACTTTGGAAGCCCATTTCTGGACAACTCCTGATGTGCCTTTTTCCCTTACCGATTCTGTTTTGTATCCTTTTCCTATAATAAACCGTATCTGTGAATATAACCTCTTCAGGTCCTACAAGTCTTTCAATACATCATTAAACATGCAGGTGGCTGTGAGGCTTAAAAAACAATACCTCAGAAAATGAAAGCATTCTAATATTAAAAATGCAAGACTTTGTCCAACCATGCTGATTATAGGATAAAATAACAACCATTATTTAGTAGAAAAAACATTAAAATTCAACTTACAGGGTAGGAGGAAGGCCACTCCACAGAGATTTAATGCCCTCATTTCGAATGATTTTTAAAAAGGCATCCTAAAATTATAATAGAAAAAAGTAATCAAAATATATCTTTAAACCTGATATACAAAAATTTATAGTGATGATTGGTAAATTCTTTCAGGTATTTACATCTAAAAAAATTAGCTTTTTGGATTTATGTCTGTTCTTTTTAAAAAGGGAATTTTAACACAATTAAAATGAAGCATTTCTGGATGATACTAATTTCTTACAGAATAAAGTCTATATTACTCAGCTCTAGATTCTTCTAAGAGCTTAGAAAAAAAGCTTTTGAAAAGATTATTATAAGAAAGGAAGGAGAGCAACAGCAGAGAATTGGTTAGATAAACCCTCCTAAGCATGAAATCAGAGAAAATATTAAAATGTGCTATGTGAAATCTTTGGAGAGGAACCTAAAGTAGGCAGAGCTTCTATTAACAGACAAACTCTTATAATTTGATAACAAAAAGATAAAGTAATTAAAAATTGGCTAAGGATTTGAATATATATTTCTCCAAAGAATACACACAAATGGCCAATAAGCATATGAAAAACTGTTTGGCTGCATGCAGTGGCTCCGGCCTGTAATCCCAGCACTTTGGAAGGTGGGAGACCCCTTGAGCCCAGGAGTTCAACATCAGCCTGGGCAATATAGTGAGACCTTATCTCTACAAAAAGCTAAAAAATTTGTTGGGCATGGTGACACACTCCTGTGGTGCCAGCTACTTGGGGGGCTGAGGTGGGAGGACTGCTTCAGCCCAGCAGGGAGAGGCTACACTGAGCTGAGATCACACCACTGCACTCCAGCCTGGGCAACAGTGAGACTCTGTCTCAAAAAAAAAAAAAGAAAAGAAAAATAGAAAAAGGAAAAATGTTCATCACTGATCATTATGAAAATGCAAAGCAAAACCACAAATGAGATGTCACTTCATACCTACTAAATAAGCTAAAATTATAAAGACAGACAATAAAAAATACTGGTGAAAATGTGAAGAAATTGGAACCCTCAGATGCTACTGGTGAGAATACAGAATGGTGTAGCCTAGCAGTTTTTCAAAAGGTTAAACATAGTTATCACATGGCTCAGTAATTTCAACTCCAGTTATACTCTGAGAGAAATTAAAACACATATTCACATAAGGTTATAACCAAGAGAAATTAAAACACATGTTCACACAGAAACATGAATGTCCATAGAAATATTCCAAAAAGTAGAAACACCCCAAATGTCTATCAAATGATGAATGGATAAATAAAATGTGATATATTCACATAATATTACTTGGCAATAAAAGAAATAAAATACTGATACATACTACAACATGGATGAATCTTAAAACACTGTGCTAAGTAAAAGACGTTAGTCACAAAGGACTGCATCTTTTCCCAGGAAAAGGAACCCTAGTAAGACAGAAAACCTTTAGACAATAACCACTCTACTTTAACCAAACAACAAAGTGAAACTTGTGGCACCACCCAGACCCGTATCAGCAAAGGCTAAGTAGGTAGCCTAGACTTCCATCAATGTAAGGCTGACAGAAGGTCAATAAGGAACCAAGACTTTTACCCCTACCAGGTCAGCAGTAAGGCTCCTTCATCCCTCTGCTAGGGTGGTATCACAGGAGGAATAGTGGAGAGTCAGTACTTTCACCATCGACCAGCAATGAGGCTACCCCACTACACCGTCAGTGGAAACCATGTAGAAAGCCAGAACTCCCACACATGCTCAACAGTAAAAGAGGTCTTCCCTCACACTGTGTGTCAATAGAGGCTGGGTGCGGAACCTGGACTTCTAACTCTACCCGACAGTAACAAGGTGACTCCCCCATGGAAGCAATGTCAGAAAAAGACAGCTAAAATAGAATGTTTTAAGTGAGATTAAGAGTTTAAGGGAATGCTAAAAAATGTTCAAGTAACACAAAGGAAGGCAGGAAAAGCAAAACAGAAATAGAAAACAGAACAAAGAGAAAATTTAAAAAATAGTAATAGGCTTAAGTTCTAATCTATAATGCATTACAATAGTTAAACTAAGTATACTAATTAAAAGATAAAAACTGACAGACTGAAGTTAAAACATGACTCAATTTTATGCTGTCTAAAAGAAATTCACTTCAATTATAATGTCATAAGCAGGCTGAAAATGGATTGAAACACTCAACACATTAAAGATGTTATTCCCCTCCAAATTAACATACAAGTTGAATGTCATTCCAATACATACCCTAGCAATATTTTTTTGTAAATATAAACAGGATCAAGCTAAGATTTATGTGGAAAGACAAAGGAACTTTGGGGAGAGCAAAAACAACTTCGAAAAAAAATATAAGGACCAGATGCCGAGTCTCACGCCTGTATCTCAGCACTTTGGGAGCCCACAGCAGGAGGACTGCTTGAGCCCAGGAGTGTGAGACCAGACTAGGCAACATAATGATACTCTGTCTCTACAAAACATAAATCACAGTGGCACACGCCTATAGTCCCAGCTACTTGGGAGATGGAGGTGGGAGAATCTTGAGGCATGTAGATTGAGGAAGCAGTGAGTCATGATTGCTCCACGGCACTCCAGCCTAGGTGACAGAGCGAGGCCTTGTCTCAGAAAAAATAAAAAGAAATATAAAAATAAAGTAAGAGGAATAAGTGAATCTAATTTCAAGACTTACACGTGCAATAATTAAGACTGTGGTATTGACAGAGTGACAGACAGAGATAAATGGAACAGAATAGAAAACTCAGAAATAGACACACCTAATATGCCCCACTGATTTTTGACAAAGGTGCAAAAAGCAAGTCAGCGGAGGAAATAAAGCCATTTCCACAAATGCAAGTGGACATCCATAGACAGCAACAACAAACAAACCTCAATCACAGTCTCATGCCCTACATAAAACTAACTCAAAATAGATCAAGGACTTAAATACAATTTTTATGAAAAAGTCTTCAGAGTGTAACAGTAGACAAAAAGCTCTTAGCCTTGACACCAAAAGCATGACCTATACAAGATATTAATAAATCGAATTTCATAAAAATTAAAAAGTTTTACTCTGTGAAAGACCATGTTTAAGAGGATGAAAAGACAAACTAGAAGTGGAAAAAAATATTTGCAAACCACACATTCAACAAAAGACTAGTATCTAGAATATATAAATAACTCAAAATTCAACAGTAAAACTACAATTTTATTAGAAAAGGATCAAAAGACATGAAGAGCCTTTTTACTGAAGAGGGAAATAAGCATATTAAAAGACGTTCACCATCATTAGCCACTACGGAAATGCAAATTAAAACCACAACGAGATATCTCTATGCAGCTATCATAATTGGTAAAATAAAAGTAGTGACAACACCAAAACACTAGTGAAGATGCGGAGAAATTGGATCAGTCACACAGTGCTAATGAAAAATGTAAAATAGTAGAACCAGTGTAGAAAACAGGTTAGGAGTTGCTTAAACTCTAAACATGTAATTACCACATGACTCAGCAACTGCATTCCCTAACCCATTTTTCCCAGAGTAAGTGGATGTTTGTAGCAGCTTTATTCATAATAGCCAAAATCTGGAAAAAAACTCCGAAAACAAACTGTATTATATCTGCACCATGAAATAATCTATATCATGAGCAATAAAAAGGAACAGATGATTGACACATGCAACACCTGGATGAATCACCAGGTAATTATGCTATGTAAAAAATGCCAACCCGAAAAGGTTATATATGTTATGATTCCATTTATATAACATTCTTGAAATGACAAAATTACATAAATGAAGAACAGATTAGTAGTTGTGAGGACTTAAGGAGTTGGTGAGAAAAGGGAAATGGGTGTGGCTCTAAAAAAGGAAACAGGAAGAATCCTTGTGATGATGAAGTTATTCTTTATTTTAATTGCATCAATCAATGTCAAAATCCTCGTGGTGACACTGTATTAGTTTCATAAGATGGTACTACTGGGGGAAACTAAGAAAAGGGTACATGAAATCTGTCTGTATATATATTTTTAATTTTATATAATCTCAAAATAAAAATGGTCAGTTTTTTAAAAAGTTACCTCCCCCTTTTTTACACAAAACCATGAACCTATGAAAAGGTTAACAAAGGGTTAAAAAGCAAAGAAGTAGTTCCCTGTTCTCAGTTTAATATGATTCTTCATTCTCTTGCAATTAGAAAAACCTTTCACATATAAGATTAAATAGAAAATATACTGTGATTCTAAATAATATAATCACCTTACCAATGTTCCCTGGAAATTTCCTGGCTTCTTATACCACAGTTTGTTGCCTCCTTCTTCACAGACACATAGATGATCCATGAGACCATTACTATATACAAAACATTTTCCTAGCAAAGAAGATTCCAACAGCCAACAATTACCTCACATAACCTTTATTATTTTTACAGATGAACAAATTGACATCACAATGAGGAAACTAGAAAATTATGAAAAGAGAAAGAATCTTGAAAAAGATAAATAACCATCTCTACTTTTTAGGATGAAACAGACATAATTAATTTGATTTGCTTAATGCTACTGCAATGCATTCTAAACTCAGTTGTTAAAAGTAACTGCAAATTACTACTTTATGTTTTCAGAACTGTAGTAAGAAAATGGCTGGGCACAGTGGCTCATGGCTGTAATCACAGTACTTTGGGAGGCCAAGGTCAGGGGACCGCTTGAGGCCAGGAGTTTGATTTCAGCCTGGGCTACACAGTGAACCTCCAACTCTACAAAAAATTTTTAAAAATTAGCTGGGTGTGGTGGCACACGCCTGTAGTCCCAGTTACTCAGGAGACTGAAGTGGGAAGACCACCTGAGCCCAGGAGGTCAAGGCTGCAGTGAGCTATGATCACACTACTGCACTCCTGCCTGGGTCGGGTGACAGAGTAAGACCTACTCTCAAAAAAAAAAAAAAAAAGTACACAAATAACTTCTTTTAAGTTTTTAAGTTATCTGAGGGAATGAAGAAAGAAGATAAAAGAAGAAAACCCATTTAGAGAGGAGAACACGGACACAAATCATTTCTATTTGTCCAGAAGAAAAATCTGTGGTATGCAAGGGAAATTCAGACAAAAATAGAATCTTTTAAAAAATATCATTCTCAATGTACATAATGCCATGCTTTGTCTCTTTTTCTGTATCTGTACTGCTCAGTCTAGCCATTTGTCACATTCGACCTAATGTAGTAACAACTTTCTCTAGTACCAACTTCCTCCCACTTACTGGACTAAACTGTTGCCAAAATTGTCTTCTCTGCCCAACAGTATATAAAAATACGAAGCTGTGAATTTTGTAGTACTTAAGTCTGAGTGTTGCCTTCTGCTTTTATGGTTTTCTTTAATGTATAGGAAATTACCTTTTTAGCCTCTTCCTACAATCTACTCTTTCATTCATCTAAAATATCAGGGTTGTTCATTCCCTCTCACTGCTCTGTATTCAACACAGTGGCTTTATATCTGAGCCAATTTTCTCACAGTCCAAACAGTGTGTTTTCAGCCACTTAAAATGTGGTTGCAATGCCATTATCTTTATAAACCTATAAAATACTAAAGAATTGCTAATCTTGCCTATCTTATAAAAACACATCATTATTTGTCTCAAATTCTACATAAACTACTATCCAGAAATTAATCAAGCTATCTGATAAAATAATACATTTCCAATCACTATATTCAAGCAACAGTTGTATGATGGTCATGAATGCTCTAACATGGGCACAACTTTTGGACACGGGAGTAAGCTAGATTCTAAGGTCTCTCACAAATATAATTCTGCTCTTACCTCTGAGGCACATCTACAAATACAAAACCATCCTTTGCTTTAATTAGTAGGTCCATACAAATGTTATATATTTATTTTTTGCCTACACCTCATCATGTACAACTAAATGGTGAAAACAAAAACGTTTTTCATGAGGGTAAGAGGCATCTATTTTAATAAATTAGCAAATAAATATTATGCAAACAAAAATTAACACATGAACATTTAAAAATCAAACATAACATTTTTAGGGTAATTAGTACACGTACCTTTGGGGAGTGGGTTGTTTTGGGCTTGGAGTCTAATTTTAACAACATCCAGGGGTGTCACTATTGAAGATATGTAAGTTTCAATTAGCAAGTGGTATCTGTAAATTGGATAGATGTTTTACAAAGAACACAAAATACACTGATTCATACTTTTCCTCATGGCTATATAATGGGTGAGCTTATTTATCTTAAAGTAGTCTTGAATGTAACATTCTAATTTTTTTGCCCTTCAATTTTGCTAATCAGTGAAAGACAGACTAATTACTTCTCTCATGAGTACTAACTGCTATTTGTAATATTCCTACAACTATCACTCCATTAGCAATACAGTTGGTACCTGTAAGAAAATATGCTTTCTAATAGAAGAAGTAAAAGTTCCAAAGTCTTTGAGAATAACTTTGTATAAGTAATCAACAGTCAAATGATATTAGTCTTCCTAATCTGTCAAATTTACCTGTATCAAATAAGTGGTACAGATAATAAAAATTTGAGTACACTGGCCATAAAACATCTTTAGCACTAAATTATGTTATTCCATTTGGGCATAGCACAGTAAAGGAAAATAGTTTTAATATGCATGCTATATTTTATCCAAGTAGAAACAAATGCCAAATAGTGGTTCTAAGAAAACTTTTCCTCATCTTGAGAATGACAATAATCATATTAGATGATCTGTATGAGCTTTATAACTCAAATTCTGACCTGAAAATACATCATAAGCAATTAATTTATTTGTTCTAATCATTTGTTATTTGTATAAACTACCCAACTTAAAAATCATTAAAATGCTAAACTATCACCTAACTACGTCATTTGGCTACATCTACAAGAAGCTGACTGTAAGAAACAGAAAACTGTGATCCAGAGAAATTTAAGAAATTCCATTAGTGCAAAGTAAAGATTATTTGTAATTGTTGCTAACATAAATTGGTAAAATTCTATATATTCATTATGCTAATATTTTATTCCATCTTCTTGTTTTCTATTATAAAAAGGGAGAATCAGAAAAGTTTAATGTTGATAGGGACCCAAAAGAAATCCCAGTATAAGTCCCTAATTTACAGATGAAATAATGAATTTCAAATAAAAGTTAGATCTCAACTTGAGAATGGCAAAGCAAGGACTAAAAATTCAAGTCCCTTGAATCTCTGTCCAGGGTTGTTTTCATATAATAATATGATGAAACATTCATGGATCATAAATTATAGTATGTGTTGTGAGAAGTCAGGGACCCCCGAACGGATGGACTGGCTGGAGCCATGGCAGGGGAACATAAATTCTGAAGATTTCATGGGCATTTACCAGTTCCCAAATAATACTTTCATAATTTCTTATGCCTTTCTTAATCTCTTAATCCTGTTATCTTCATAAGCTGAGGATGTACGTCACCTCAGGGTCACTACAATAATTGTGTTAACTGTACAAATTGATTGTAAAACATGTGTGCTTGAACAATATGAAATCAGTGCACCTTGAAAAAGAACAGAATAACAGTGATTTTAGGGAACAAGGAAAGACAACCATAAGGTCTGACTGTTTGCAGGGTTGGGCAAAATAGAGCCGTATTTTTCTTCTTGCAGACAGCCTATAAACGGATGTGCAAGTAGGGAAGACATCACTAAATTCTTTTCCTAGCAAGGAATATTAATAATTAATACCCCGGGGAAGGAATGCATTCCTGGGGGGAGGTCTATAAATGGCCGCTCTGGTAGTGTCTGTCTTATGTGGTTGAGATAAGGACTGAAATACACCCTGGTCTCCAGCAGTACCCTCAGGCTTACTAGGATTGGGACACTCCACCCTGGTAAATTTGAGGTCAGACTGGCTCTCTGCTCTCGAACCCTGTTTTCTGCTGTTTAAGATGTTTATCAAGACAATATGTGCACTGCTGAACACAGACCCTTATCAGTAATTCTGCTTTTGCCCTTTGCCTTGTGATCTTTGCTGGACCCTTCTCAGGAGTTTGTGATTTTGCCCTTGTCCTGTTTCCTCAGAAGCATGTTTTCCTCAGAGAAGATTGTTCTCCTCTTTGCCTTTGAAGCATGTGCTCTTGTGACCTACTCCCTGTTCTTGCACCTACTCCCCTTTTGAAATCCTTAATAAAACTTGCTGGTTTTACAGCTCAGGTGGGCATCACGGTCCACCGATATGTGATGTCACCCCCGGAGCCCCAGCTGTAAAATTCCTCTTTGTACGCTTTCTCTTTATTTCTCAGCCAGCCAACACTTACGGAAAATAGAAATAACCTATGCTGAAACACTGATACTAAAACTCAAATGGAAGCACTGATTCATTCAAAGTTACATAATCTATATCAGTAACATAATTTTACCTATTAGTGATGTCAGTATAGCTCCAGTACATGAGGCAAGCATTTGTTGAAGAGGTGTCACTTTGATAATCTCTTGTCCTCTTGTTTCGGGATCCATATTTTTAACTAATTAAATACAAACCTGTTAAAGAAAAAGAAAATATAAAATTAGAGCACGTCCTCTGATACTTCAAAAACGATAATGTCCTTCAGCTAAGTTGGGTGAGCAGCATCACATTAGTAAGACAACTAAGAGAGAATTAACCAAACAGATACAGACCACATAACAGAATGAAAGCAGTTGACCAGTAAGTCTCAGAGTCAGTGAACTTAGCCTCATAAACACTACTAAGAAACCCTCCCCAGTAGAGTACAGAGGTATCAGCAAATACAGCCCTTTACTATACACCAGTAGTTGTTGTACAGATGTAAAATAAAAACACATAACCTTAATAAGTTTTATCTTACAAAAATTTGAGGAGAAAAGCAACATAAAAACATAAAAAAGTCTTAAAAAGTCAGATAATACAAAACAGTATAAAAATAACTTATGAACTTACTATTCAAAAATAATCACTGCCCAGGCACGGTGGCTCACGCCTGTAACTCCAGCAATTTGGGAGGTTGAGGCGGGCAGATCATAAGGTCGGGAGATCAAGACCAACCTGGTTAACATGGTGAAATCCCGTCTCTACTAAAAATATAAAAAATTAGCTGGGCGTCTGTAGTCCCAGTTACTCGGAAGGCTGAGACAGAAGAATGGCGTGAACCTGGGAGGCAGAGCTTGCAGTGAGCCAAGATCACGCCACTGCACTCCAGCCTGGGCAACAGAGCAAGACTCCGTCTCAAAAAAAAAATAATAATAATCACCAGCAACATGAATGTCATCTTTCCAAATGTCTACGCACATACACACATACATATGTATATGTCTATATGCACACATTACATCTAACTAAATACTGTATATTAATCAAACACATGTACATTTATGTGTCTGTGTACATACAGCTTTTCTGAAAAACAGGTTAATACTATTTTGCTTGTCTAGTGGCCTGCTTTAACAAAAATATATTATAGACATTGTGTCAATAAAAACAGATTTACATTTTTATTGCTTGCACAGTAGTTAATTATATTTAATCAGTTTCAGATTGTTAGATACCAGGTTGTTGCCAATTTCCAAACTGTAAAATATTCTGCTATAATATTCTTATACATACATATATATATCTTTTTGTAACCTTCCTACAACTACTCTACAAAAAAAAGTAAGATTGATGGGATAAGCTATTTTAAAACTTGATACAGGGCCAGGTGCGGTGGCTCACACCTGTAATCCCAGCACTTTGGGAGGCCAAGGCAGGTGGATCACCTGAGATCAGGAGTTCGAGACCAGCCTGGCCAACATGGTGAAACCAAGTCCCTACTAAAATTACAAAAAATTAGCCAGGCATGGTGGTGCAAACCTGTAGTCCCAGCTACTTGGGGAACTGAGGCATGAGAATCCTGTAACCCAGGAGTCAGAAGTTGCAGCGAGCCAAGATCACATTACTGCACTCCAGCCTAGGTGACAGAGGAGACTCCGTGTCAAAAACAAAACAACAACAACAACAAAAAACCTTCATACAAATTGCTATGATGCTTTCCAGAAAGCTTGGATCAATTTATACTTCTACTGGCAATATGAGAGTTCCTACTTATGTATGACTTATCGAATTCTCTGTCAAATTACATATCATTTTTTTCTGAACCATTCAAAAGTAGGCTGCATACATCATGTCCCTTCACCATAAATATGTCAAAATATTATCTTATATAATCACAATTATCAAATTCAGAAAACAATTTTGAACAGTACTCTACAGTTCATATCCCAATTTTGTCAATGATATCGATAATGTCTTTTATAAAAATAAATGGTAATTTTATTGTTTCTTTAGACTTTTATTATCTACCTACCTGGTTTGAGTCTTTTCTTCAACTCTATGCTCCAATATTGTATTGTCTGTAACATCAGTAGCCAAAAACCTATAATTAAAAGAAAGTAATTGTCTTATCTTTTCACCCAGGAAAAGGATAATAAATCTAAAAGAAAGGAGTACATAAAAACTTCAATACAAAAACCAACGAATATTCATTAAAGGCTTTCTACTAATTGCTCTGAGGAATATAAAGAGCACTCCATAAAGGCAAGCATTAGTTATAGAAGCATTTTCACAAAAACCTCATGTTATTCTAGTTAATATACTCTGCTTTAAAAACAAATAAGCAAACGACTCCAGAGCCCAAACACAGTAATCAATCTTACCATCATTTACAGTAGAACAACCAGATTTTGTAACACAAAATTAAAGGTCCAGCATCATCTATGAAGGTTTTTTTTTTTGGGAGGGGAGTATAAGAGGGGGGACCCTTTAATCTGAATTGAAACAAGCAACAAGCTTTAGATCTAACTTCCGAGTCACAGGAAATTCAGTAACTAGTGTAACAAGGTAATGGATGCCACGTAACAGTAGAAGTTGTACTCTTTTAGCTTACAGGACTACTGTCTTGATTTCTCCAAGTCAAAGGTGGGAAAAAAGGTGGCAGGGGAGATTAAATGAATCTTGAAAGAGTCAACCACCAAAAGAACCCTGGTTGAAACAAACAAATTTTTCCAGTTTGAGGGTAACTAGTGACATCTGAACATGGTCTGGTATTAGATAATACTAATTTGATATTAGACAATATTTCAGAAATCTTGTTTATTTTGTATGTAGAAATAATCTTTTAAGAGACTCATTCTAAATTATTAAGGACCATAATGTTCTAATAGCTGTAGTTTACAAAACATCAAAAACATAAATATACTAAAATGTTAATGATTTGGTAAATCTACGTAAACATATATCATAAATATTTCATTTTTTGTGTATATGTGAAAATATGTATAATAAAAATATTTTAGTTCCTGAAACTTATGTAGAATCTTCAAGTCTAGGGAACATCGTATTTGTAACATTCATTTAAATGAGCTCCTTTAAGTGGAAAAATAATATACGTATGCTAGAATACAGGTATATTTCTCCTCCAGAATGGTAAAACGGCCCATAGTACTTTATTGTTGACACTGATGCCAGCAAGGTTGACAACTTGAATATGTGCACATGAAAGTAAATCCAGAAAACTTTATTATGTTTTTAGCCATTAAAATGTAAGGAAACAAGTCAGAAATTTAGATACAACTTTTTAGAATAGTTAATGAAATTGTTTCATAACATATATACTATTTTAGAAAAATAAGTTACATCAATTATCTCCTAAAATCATGTTACCTAATTATAATGAGAACTGAAAAATGAGTCTCCTTTTCAATTTATTACAAAAATAATGAAAAAAATGCAAAACTCTACTCCCAGAGACTTGGGAGTACACGTAGAAAATGTGAGAAGTGATTATCAGTGAACTGCCTAGAACTCATAATGTATTCAACATTGCTTTAAACTCCCTACAGTTTTACCAACCTACTTATCTTTTTTCTTTGCCACTTTCTATTCTCCTATGTGCAGACACTGTCGCTTTTTCAGGGAGGACACATTCTAGAGTCATAAACCATTCTAACAAAGTATCTCTCGACTTTACTATAATAGTAGAAGATCTCATCAACAAACGTTCTGCAAGAACAGTTTTCCTCCCTCAACTCCCTGCAAAATTCTTCTTTTCTATACCTTTTCTGCTTCTGTATGCTACTGAAGTAACCATTAATAATTTATTTTAACTAGCCAACGTGGTCTTCAAGTGTAAATGGGAAGCATTCTCCAACATGAAAAACCCATGAGCCCTTCTTAAGAAACATGTTACTTAATAACAAAATTCACTTAACCAAGAGATTAATGAAGAACATTTAGTAAAAGGATTAAAGTAACTTACATTTAAGCCAGAAGACAGAAAAGTATCTACTCAGTCTCATCAGAATTTTTAATTTTTTCAAAACAAATATGTGTTAAATGCTATCTTGTAATCTTGATTTACCTTCTGCATTAGTCTGTTTTCACACTACTGATAAACACATACCCAAGACTGGGCAATTAACAAATAAAATAGTTTTAATGAACTCACAGTTTCACGTGCCTGGGGAGACCTCACAATCATGGCAGAAGGTAAAAGGCATGTCTCACATGGTGGCAGAGAAGGTAAGAGAACTTGTGCAGGGGAACTCCCCTTTATAAAACTATCAGATCTCATGAGACGTATTCACCATCACAAGAATAGGACGGGAAAGGCTCACCCCCATGATTCAATTACCTCCCACCAGGTCTCTCCCACAACATGTAGGGACTATAGCAACTACAATTCAAGATGAGTTCTGGGTGGGGATACAGTCAAACTGTATCACCTTCCCCTGGCCAATAAAGATGCTTAACATTTCTTCACATTTTTATCAGTAGTATATATTGCCTCTTCTGTAGTATGTCCATTTACATCTTTTACCTACTTTGACGTTAAGGCATGTATACTTTCCTTACTGTTTTGAGGAATCCTTTATTCCATTTAAAAAAAGAATACTCAGGAATGCATGATATGGTTTGGTTGTCTCTCCACCCAAATCTCATCTTAAATTGTAGTTCCCATAATCCCCATGTGTCATGAGAGGGAACAAGTGAGAGGTAATTTAATCATGTTCCTGTGATAGTGAGTTCTCACAAGATCTGATGGTTTTATAAGGGACTTTTCCCCCTTTTGCTTGGCACTTCTCCTTGCTGCCACTATGTGAAGAAGGACATGTGTGCTTCCTCTTCTACTATAATTGTAGGTTTACTGATGCCTCCCCAGCCACAATGAACTGTGAGTCAATTAAACCACTTTCCTTTATAAATGACCCAGTCTCAGGTATGTCTTTATTAGCAGTGTGAGAATGGACTAATACATTTATTTATTTTTATTGATACATACTAGATGTACACGTTTTGGGAGTACATGTGATAATCTGATATATTAATATAGTATGTCAAGATCAAATCAGGGTAATTGGGATATCCATCACTTTAAACATTTCTCTTTTATTTATGTTAGGAACATTCGAATTATTATCTTCCAGTTATTTTGAAATGTATAACAGATTATTAACTATGCTTACTCTACCAATTGATCAAACACCAGGTCTTATTTCCTCTATCTAACTGAAATTTGTACTCATTCATCAACTTCTCTTCCCAGTTTCCTTCCCCAAAACCTTCCTGGCCTCTGGTAATTACCAATCTACTTTTAATCTTCATGAGATCCACTTTTTTAGCTCCACATATGACTGAGAACATGTGATATTTGTCTTTCTCTCTCTGGCTTATTTCAATTAACATAAGGATTTCTAGGACTTCTGGGTTCATCCACGTTGTCACAAGTGGCAGAATTTCATTCTCTTTTTACAAATGTTCTGTAAATGTCAGTTAGGCCCGTGTAGTTTAACTCCAGTGTTTCCTTGTTGGTATTATGTCTGAATGATCTGTCCATTACTGAGTGTGTGTTACTGAAGCTCCCCACTAATACTGAATTGCAGTCTCTCTCTCCCTTTATGACTATTTAACAAATTTAATTGATATGTACTAGGTGCATCTATATTCGAGGAGGATGTGATAATTTAATACATTCATATAATTTATAAAGTCAAATCAGTGTAATTGAGATATCCAGCACCTTAAATGTTATTTATGTTAGAAACATGTGAATTATTCTCTTCTAGCTATTTTGAAATACACAACAGATTAATGTAAACTATATCCACCATACTGATCTATCAAAAAAATGTGGTCTTCTTTCACCAAACTGTTCGCTTTAGATCTATTAATGTTTGCTTTATATATTGGGGTGTTCCCGCATTGGTTACATAAATATTTATAATTGTTGTATCATCTTGCTTAATTGACCCCTTTATCATTTTATAGTGACATTGTCTCTTTTTTACAGTCTTTGACTAGTCGTCTATTTTACACATGCACAGCTACTCCAGATTCTTTTTGGTTTCCACTTGCATAAATGAAATACCTTTCTCCATCCTTTCGTTTTCAAATTGTGTCTTTATAGATTAAGTGGGTTTTTTGTAGACAGCATATGGTAGGGTCTTGGTTTTCTTAATCCATTTAGCCATTTTGTGTCTTTAAACTGAGAACTGAATCTATTTTTACTCTGTATTAGTACTAATAACTTACCACTGCCATTTTGTTGTTTCTTTAACGGCTGTTTTCTAACTTGTCTCCTCTTCTTTTCTTCCATTCTTACTGTTTTCCTTCGTGGCTAAGTGATTTTCTTTGTTAGCATGTTTTGATTTTCTTTCTTTCTTTTTCTCTCTCTCTCTCTCTCCTCCCCTTCCCCTCCCCCTCCCCTTTCCCCTCCCTCTCTCCCTCTCTCTCTCTCTTTCTTTCTTTTTTTGAGACAAGGTCCTGCTCTGGTGTCCAAGCTGGAGTGCGGTGGCAGGATCACAGCTAATTGCAACCTCAAGCTGCTGGGCTTAGACAATCCTACTGCCTTAGCCTCTTGAAGAGCTAGGGGACTATAGCCATGAGCCACCACTACTGGTCTAACGCATTGCTTGTTATTTTTAGTGTATCTACAATAATTTTGCATTGTGGTTAACATGAATTTTAAAAATCATCTTGTAAATACATTATTTTTAAAAGATGAAAACTTATTTTAGATAAAGAATAGAAACAAAAAGAAAACTAAAAAAAAAAGTTCTACACTTTAATTACATCCTGCATACATTTTGACTTTTTGTCTTAATTTACATATTCTTATATTCCTTATCTCTCAACAGGCTGCAGTAGCTATTACAGTTTTTGATAGATTTTTCTCTTATGCTTCATACTAAAGTTATGAGTGAATTGCACACCACAATTTCAGCATTAGAATATTCTTGGGAGGCCAGGTGCAGTGGCTGAGGCTTGTAATCCCAGCACTTTGGGAGGCCAAGGCAGGCGGATCACTTAAGGCCACAAGTTCGAGACCTGCCTGGCCAAGAGGATGAAACCCCAACTCCATTAATAAAAACAAAAATT